TAGTGGAACCAGTTAACATCGTATTAGGAATAATGGCATTGATAGTGAGAGAGAAACTCTAGTTTCTAATCATAAAACAGACAGAGAATGATTTTGTGTTTTCATTACTGCAATCTGGTTTAAATTCTATGCTTAGTATCAGTTAAAGTTAATTTATGAGAAAATCATTTGAGGTAAAGAATTATACATTAACAACATGGAAAAAATGAGGACGTGCTCAAAATCAACAACTTTGGTTGGTTATCCTGGGATTGATATTAATTAAAATAGATTGAACTGAATGAGCTCGTTTGAGTTTTAAGTAACTTTAAATATTATTTCAGAGTCACTGTGGCTATCCATGTTTCCAAATGATTCACCTTAAATAATTATAAGTAAAATTATTACCTGAGATGTGATCAGATCCAGACATCTAAGGCAGGAAACCTACAAAGCAGGTTATTGACATCATCCATGCCTTATCATGACACTTAAAACCCTGGAAAATAAGAGCTTCTTATTCACAGGTTTACGAAATTAATTGGAACCAAGGATAACCTTGGAATCCCTGAAGTCAGTCTTCAGAGAGATCTTGCCAACAATACAACCGTTTGAAGGTAGAGTTGTCATTATAAGATCTGAACATAAAGTCAGGATTTATGATCAGTACAAAATTTGTGATATGCATTGCAGTGTGAATTAGGCTTTGATATAATTTGACATTCGCTGGAGGATATATTTTAAAGTCAAAACTTGGCTTTAGTTTTAGTCAATGGTTTCTTCATTATCTAAAACAGAAAAAAGCATTTATCAATGCATCAATCAAAGTTTCAGATGCTTTAGAATGTGAAATTATTTAAGGGGACTCAGGGGAGGCATTGCAACCTGTCTACCTAAAATGACTTCAATGTTAGTTTTATTTTTATTGTGAATACTAAAGTTATCTGATTATAGCAACTTTGTGTTACACTTAGTCAAGAATGGATTCATGACCCTGCTTTCAAGTTGAGTTTAAACTTTAGAGAGATTCCAAAGTATAAATAAAACATTGTAATCAATACTACCCTTTTAACAAGACTCTGGGAAATAAATTAGAAATTCCATTCCTCTAGAAACAAACATAAATTAAGAAGATTTTCAAAATGTAGTCTGCATGCTGCATTTTGGCTGAATCCACAATGCTGTTTTCAAAACACAGAAGTCAAACCATAGCATATTGAACTGAGAACACTGCATTTTTTGGAACCAGTAAAAACACTTCCATGTGCTACCACTTTCTGTGCATTATTTTCTTGTTAATTAATTCATTCTAAAAATATCTATTTAGGATTTATCGTGCGTCAAAGACCACGATAGATGCTAAGAGACAAAAGAAATGGGAGGAAAAACCGATTTTGCCGCTATCCATTCTCCCATTATCTCAAAGCATTCCTTCCAAGTTTTTAGATTGTTTGGCCCATGATCTCCCTCACCCCTCCTCCCCCACACAGAATCTAAAGTATAGCAAAACATGTGCATTGTTAATCTAGGTTGATTATTAATGGAAAGTTGTTTCGTAATCCTTTTAAGACCGGTGCTGTAAGGGGACTGCTTTAGTCAATTCTTGACCTTTGGAAGAAGACAAGGAGTCCTAAAATAGTTTCTAACTCAAGAAAAATATTGTACCAGATTTCAGGATGTCATAAAAAAAGTATAGAGCTAATTAAAAAGAATGAAAGGGCTGAAGGTAAGCCAACGTCTACCTTGATTCCAGGAGCCAGAAGGAAGAAGACAGAAAGTACAAGTAGGGACAGATACCCACGTGGCAAACTTTGAAGCTACTCATTTAAGAGCTGATAATATTCTGTAGAGAAATGATGTGAGTGTGTGTGTGTGTGTGTGTGTGTGTGTGTGTGTGTGAATTAGTCACAATAAAATCTTTGACAACATGTAGTGCAAACAGAAAAACCAATCCAAACTAAATGGACAAAAGAGAAGGGAGGCCGTTGTTATCATACCTCTAAGTGATTAGCAGGGCATGGATTTCACCTTTTATGGTAAATATGAATGTGTTGTAAATATTACGGACAAAGTATAGAAGACAAAAATGAACCAACAGAAACACAATGATCCCCACGTCAGCTGCCTGTGAGAATTGCAGAGGCGTGAAGCTCATACTACAAATGAAGACAAATAAGATAGAAACCTGGCCTTGGGGAAAATAGCAAGCATTGTGTTTGTCCATATGATGATAGATTTGCAGGCTGTTGAAAAATGTGGGCAAAAACATCTGAAAGCTTAAAGTGTAGGTCTGGACAGGAGGAGTAGTGAGGTTGGCTTAGAAAGGTAGATCTGGGAATGATCTGCAAAATGATGCTGTTAAAGCTGGCAGGGTGCAGGGGTCTGTCAGTGAGAGGGAGGTCTGGGCGCCACGTAATCCAGGAGCCAAGCCAAGCTGGAGCTGGTCCCAGACGCAGGAAGAGGAAGGCTGAGGTGGGAGTACGGAGGGTGCTTCCCGAGGTCTGGAGTTTCGAGATTCTGTATCTATACTAATCCTGTCTCTTCTTATGGCTAAGGTCTTTGCAATTCATAAGCTTAAAATTAGCAAAAAGGAAAAGAAAAAAATCTAAAAGCAAAGAGAAGACAAGTGCCTGCAAAAATGGAGACAAACAGACCAAAGACTAAGCACAGTGAGGATGGGCAAATGGAATGTTCATCAACTACGTTTAGGTTACTTCATTTTTTTAATTTTAGGTAATTTGCTACAATATCTTACAGTGCTGCTAGAAACCTATGTTCGATTCAGGTTTGAATTATGCTTGCTGTCATTGACATTATGATTGATATTATGGATTGGCACTTGAGGATCTAACTCTCTTATTCTGCATAGAGCAACTTGATAATTTCCTGGGTGGCACCGAAGATGACTTCAAGGACTCCACAGTCTGGCTGAGAAAGGATGACTGATGAAGAAACGGCAGAGTCATATGCATAACCATATGCATAGTTAGGGAGTAAATTGTGAGTTATAAGTCAATTGCAGAATTTAAAAATTGGCAGGATCAGTGCAGGCTAGAATACAGGGAGGGATAAGGAGGATTCTGAGCGGGGCTTTGAAGGATGTGTAGGATTTGTCTTGACAGGGAAGGAGAAAGGCATTATTGGTGTGAGAGATGACATGAAGATGGGACTAAAATGGCTTCTCCGAGCTCTGCTAAAAAAACCAGGCTCTCAAGAATAAATGGTGTTTGTTTAAAGGTTGTGGGAACTAAAGTTATCTAGATGAAGGAGAACTTGGAAAGCTGGGATGAAGAGTTCAAATTTTAAGTGACTGGTCTTTACATTTGGAAGACAAGTCCGACCAAAGCTGCTAATGTTCCTGATTTAGAGGACTAATGAAGTCTGGAAGAGGTGAAGGGAATCGAGTGCCCCTTCCCACACCATGCTAACGAAGAGCCAGCTGTGCCCAAACTCCCTTCGCTCCCACAGAATGTTCCACTGCACCAGCAGCTAACAGCTGGTCCTTGCACTGAACATCAACCTGAATCTCTACCTCTCCTCGCGAGGCTGTTAGCTACAATTCTAACATCCAGCCAAATCAAAGCCTTATTCTTGAGACTTGACAATTGTGTAGTTTAAGTATGTTAAATAAAAGCTGGAAATTTAGGTCTTATCACAGAATGCTGCACATGATAAATGGTAGTCAGTGGATGATGTGGCCTCATTTCTCTGTAACCAGCATATCCTCATTTCTCCATCCCACCTTGGATTTTCTTTTCACATTTTAAATGCTATCATGTTATTTATTTTTTAAAAACTGCTTCTATTACACACAGCAGTGTTTTTGCAAAGTGTGATTCCCTGACCAGCAACATCAGCATCATCTGGGAACTTGTTGGAAATGGATGTTCTTTTGCCCTACTCCAGACCTGCTTAATCAGGAACTCACTAGGTAGGGCCCAGCAATATCTTTTAAAGAGCCATCCAGGTGGCTATCCTGCTTGCTGAAGTAGAGAGCTACTCACCTACAGAACACAGCAATGATTTCTTAGAGTATCATCAAAGCCTCTTTACTGTCTATTCCTAACTTACTTCTCCACCGTGTCCAGCCTTTGCCCTGGTCTGCAACCCAACCCGGACATTGAGCACACGTGTATTATATACACATGCAGTTTGCAGTCTCCCGATCACCCAAACTTTTTAATACATCCTTGCGTTTGTATTAGCCTTACAATCTTGTCTAGATTGCACTTTGCTCACTTTGGTAAACATCTGCTTTTCAAGTCCACCCTCAATGTCCTTTGGCAGTGGCCAGAAGTTACTCTCTTATAATCCTGCAGTCCTTTGTTTATCCTGCTAATATAATTGCCACAATAAACTGAATGCTCTGTTTATGTGCCTGTCCAGGTTGAGGACAGGAATCTAGTTGCACTCAGCTCTGAGTACTTACCCACAGCAGAGTGAGGACACGGACTCCACTCTAGCTTGTGGACCAGTTCGAAGACCAGCTCCTGCCCTGGGCACATGGCTCCACCCTCCTCCCTGGCTACTTCTTCCTCCACAAGGTGAGTTGGGGAGGGGATTAAATAATACTCTGTTCAACACTAGGGACCTACAGTTCTAACAAGCAGCCAGGTGATTCTCATGCACTCTGATGTTTGAGAACCACTGCCTCCTCCCTATAAAAATTCAAAAGTTTCCAGCCTTGTATGTAGGAAGGATTTCATCTTCTTTTGTTTCTGCCACTTCAGATAATTCAAACTCCTAAATTCCTGGCATGCAGGAACACTAAAAAGAGTAAACCAGCCCAGGTTTCTTCTCTGCCATCAGCTGAAACTCACCCGCAGACACTTTCTCCTTTCAAAGCTCTGTGGAGGCCCAACAAAGAGCTTAACTAGAAGGTCTTTAAAATGATCAGTAACTTGGAGAAGCAGCTGAAGTAAGGCCTGCAAAGGGAGAGAGGAATTAAAAAAAAAAATGTTTTGGACACATTTCTGCTTATTTGACCAAGCAAAATAAATAAAATATTTAACAAATTAATTAGCATATATCCAAATAATCAAATTAGTTTCCAGTTAAAGATAAAATGGCATAGCCTCTCCAGCCCCAATTCCTTATGAGCCAGTTGTTACAGTTTTTTTAAAGTGGTAAACTTCTAGGAATGTGTGTATATATGAACTCTAAGTGTATTCTTATCAGCAGTGGCTGATGCAGTGGCAAAGGCAGGCCACCCACAGTACCTCGAAGCAGCAGTTTGCTACCAGCACTGATTTGGTTAACCTTTGATTAAACATAGGAATTTAAAGCACGAAAAGGTCTGGAACCTGACACAACCCTTTGACACCATGCTGTCTGTCATTAATGATAATCCAGCATTAGATGTTCAGCTTTGAAAATGAAAGTAGACTTCAGTTTTGAGCCCTAACCCTGCTGTACTGTAAACTGAACCCTGCTGTGTTTGCAGACTTCCTGATTTACTGCTTTGCCTTTTAACTATTTTCAGGCAAATGGGAGTTGGGGGCAGGATAAAGAGTCCAGGGATCAAGTGAGTACAAACAAGGCATCTCAACTACCATCAAGGGAAGTGACTTTCTGCTTAGAGAAGTCACCAGGTCAAAAGAGTTTTATTCCCACAATTGATTTAATTTTCCTTTTTTTTTTTTTTTTTTAAACTAGGTGTAAGAATTTCCTTGCTGGGACATCATGCAAGAAATATTCGTATCCTCTTTCACTTCCTTTTAAAAACAACAGCAATGATGTTAGAATTCCCCAAGGTCCCTCCTAAGTCTCAAAGTTTCTTTTACCTTTTAACAATATATCAGTGTGTCTGAGGGCTCCACATCTCATTTCACACACAGTGTGGTGTTCAGGGCAGGTTACGATATATGTCTAAATGTTTGTTGAATGAACAAATGACCGAATCCGCCTCCTAGTTCAATGGCTGTGGTTTGCATGTAAAAGCAAGTGTTAGACAATAATAGAGTTACAGGCAGTTGACCCAGATCTATTCCGTTAACTGTTGATTTGTTATTCTTAGGTTCACATTTTTTGGCGTTTGAGTTCATGGCTGTGACTCTCAACTCCTATCCCACAGCTTTTTAGCTAATTGGACTTGGGAATTTCTCTCAGCCCTTAGCTAAACTGACTCCTGGGACTTCTACTTCCAGAGACGCCTCCTTGAGTCTCAAGCCTGAGGAAGACTACAATTCCTCTTCCCTATTCCCTGAGAGGAGGGAGACTTGGGCATCCTATTCCATTAGGCGTGAAGGACCAGCATAACTGTATTTTCTTTATATCCTTCTATGATATAGAGATGGTCCAACATAATTTAATCATTATATTCTGTTTACCAACATGACTACACTATATCACAGCCATACAAAACCTTTTCAAACTGTAATAACCTCTGTGAAATTTTTGATTCATGTACAGGGATATCTGTCATCATCATGTCAGTGTTACTTTGGACTAGTTATCATGTCAGTGTTACTTTGGGACTCTAGGGATGGTTCCAGATCAAATCGGCCAGCCGTTGTACTGAGAAATTCTATTTTCTTTAACAAATACACATAGTAATTACCATGAAATACTGTTTTATGTGCTTCGTAAGTATTAAGTCATTTAATTTTCAAAGCAATGTAAGAATACCAAGTCAGAATCTCTGAGGTCGCGGCCCAGCGATCTATATATTAAAAATCCTTCCAGGATATTCCTGTGCTAGCTCAAGTTCGAATGCCACTATATCTTGTCTAATACGTGGTGATTTTTTTTTTTAAGTTGTTGAATAATTAAGTATAGTCTGTGTATAGAAAATGGGAAAGGAAAATTAACTGCAGATTTTTCATGATGATCTTTACCATTCTTAGTATTAGTTGGAGGGTATTGAGTTTAGCTGCAGGAAAGGATATGCGAAGAGAAGTCATGAGAAAGAAGGTGTGAATAAAGGTTTGGGCCACATCTAGCATGATGTGTGCATACTTATTGCTCAACAAGTGATGATACTCTTCTCTGCCCTTCAGCTCTTTGGTACTTCTTGGTTGGACTAATGCAGAAACCCTCTAACTCTCTCCTGTGTTTAGTTTTTCTCCACTCAAGTCCCCACTACGTTAACTTTGCATTAGCCTTTCAGAAGTTCAGATGTGATGACATCATCATTTTTTTAACAGCTTTATTGTGATGTAATTCACATTTGGGAACTTCCACCATTGCTAGAACTGATAAGCATGGCTTACTGTGCCTAAACTGTTTGCATAAAGAATGTGGTTTTTTGAACTTC